TTTAAAGTACTTACGAGGTCCATTTGGCGAAGGATGCATCATGGGAGGAGGTGGAAATCTTGGCATTCGCATCATCGGAGGGATTGAAGGAGGAGGGCCAAACCCAGCCATGGGGCCAAGGGGAAGAGGAGGGTGAGATGATCCATCCGTGTTGTCATGGCCAAAGGAATCTACGCTATCGATAGGTTTTTGAGAGGACTGCAAACATAACCAAAAAATATTTCTTGAGCTAAATAAGAGGGAAAAGATTTCTAGCTCAATTTTGAGATTGGACTAATGAAGGTTTCTTCGACGAATTCACACTTTTCTCGAGACTGCAACGTCATTCAACCGCGTTGTATTAGCTCTTGTCATAATAGCATGCGACGATTGAGGGATACGTATTCCAGATCAGTAACTCATCTTCTAGCAACTATGCCAATCAGAGGAACCGTCCATTCGATCTTTTATGAAACCAAGACTTTCGTCAGCTAATTCACTCTGATCTAGAAGTTTTATATTCACAGCGTTGCGACGGATTCTTATCAGAGTTGTGTACTCGATTTGAAACTGAATAACAAGTTAATGAATAAGGTATAAGAACCAACCAGCCACATATATCATACCTGAGCAGAGGAAGCAACTGTTGTGGGAGGAGGCGTGGCATGGCCTTTGGTTGCAGGGCCTGGAGGGGGGAAGGGCTGTCGAGGAGGTGTCATCCCAAGGAAATCTGCGGGATGCGGTCTTCGTTGGCCCGGAAACATGGATGAAGGAGGCGGGAGAGGTCCTAAAAAACACAGGAATAGTAAGGATCAGTTGGATGCATGGGAACGCAAATCTCTTTAAGAATTTTGGGCAGTGAAGAAGAGAGATGGTCAAGGAACTGGGTTAGTGAGTGCAGAGATTTTATTTGATAGTAGGGTGAGGGCAAGAAATGCGAGGAGTGAGGGCTTATTTTTCTGTGATTACTATTTTTAATGATTGCTTATAACTCACTTACCAGGGTTTGGAAACTACCGATAAGGCACGGGGGAGAATTTATAAGTGAATGGTTCCTCTAAGGGAGGGAAGGTGGGTTAAGAAGAAAGCCAACTTACCCATCATTGGAGGTGCACCAAATGGAACTGGGCTACCATGACTAGGAACCCCAGGCATAGGACTGTGGATTGAAAAAATTTAAAACCTTACGTTAGCAAGGAATCATGCTACGACCGATGTAAGTGGAAAGCTTAATAAAATGAAACAATAGTTTTAGCGTTCTAATTTAAATATGAACTTATCAAATATTTGTTGCTACTTTAGGTACAAATGCAAATTAACTAGAAGAAGGAAAACATGGATTCACCTCATTGTTGCAGGAGAATCTCGACCATCAACTGAAAAATAACAAAAAAATATGTTTCACCATGAGAATCAATCTTACACGATTATATTTTCAACTTCCAATTTTAATATGAGAGTCCCATACGTGAATATAAAACAACTTGATGACTATCGCCCTCTTAATGTCAACACTGAGTATTTCACAATTAAGTCGACTTCTTTCGGAAGATTAGAGTGCATTTCGATTAAGTGACGTCAAACCAACGTCAAAGTGATCACAGCAGCCAATCAGGGGAAAGGAAAATATCCCAAGGGACCAAAGAAAACGATAAGTAAAAACACAAACTGCTTGAAGCGCAGGAAAACGCGAGTGACAAATCGTAATTGATTTCAGTTGTGAAACTGATTGGTTGATAAAGTGGCGCGAGTTTTCTGGACCAATAATACCACAAAGTAATGCAAAGTGATCCTGGATTACTTCGAAACTCGATCGAAACACTATATTCTCACAGTTAATCATGCTGAATTCACGCTGAGGGGAGACACTGTGAATTGGTGGTCTGGGTTCGAGTTTTAGCTGGGTCACTGTGTTGTACTTCTACTTCCACGAAACCTCTCACCGCTCAGAGTCGTCATGGCTACCAGCAACT